TTGCAAGAATCTTAATAAAGTACTAGCCTAACTGTTTATATTAAAAAAAAAATATTCTAATAACTAATAATAATAATAATACAATAATAAGAAAAACTAATATTATATAATAATAATAAAATAATAATAGAGAATGGCAATCATAGTGTAATAGTTGGGTTGTTATTTTCCAAGTGACAGGTCTAGTATTCAAATCTTACTTATAATAAAATTTGGAAAATTATATCTGTATTATGACAAACTGTCTCTTGATGATCGATTGGATTGGTGTATTTGTAACCTTAAGTTGTATCATCTTGAATGAGAGCTTAGAGCATCTATGCAAAGTAAAATATTATACATATATAGAGGAATGTATAACTGGTATTATATAAGTTTTCAGTGCAAACCTATGATAAAACTACCAGGTGCAGTAAATTAAAGAACCAAAGAGTCAGAAGCCTACTTGAAATTTCTGAGTAAAGAGATAGCATGAACTTTTAATAGTACAGTTAAACTAATAGAAGCTTATAAAATATCTTCAAAAGAATAGATGAATAAATTGTATGACAAGATGTATAGAGAAGCATATAACCAACCAGGCTACTGAAATCATCAGAAGAAAAAGAATATATAAGTATACTACACTGGGCCATCTGAATTGGAAGTTAGTAAAGTCTTGTTAGTCCTGAGTAGCAGTTAGTAAAGATAATGAAAAAGATGTCATAATAATAGATATTGGAGTTCTAGTAAACTTTACAAAAATAGAAATAGTATAACATAGTGGTTAAATAGGTAACCTCTGACTGCAAGTATTAGACAACTATAGTGACTTACATAAAACTAGGTCAGCTATATATAGAATATGAAAGATTCTAGTAAGTTTTCTGTTAAGAATAAACTAGCCCTAAGAGGCCTCAAAAACATTAAATATTTTATATAAATAGGTATAACCTTGAAGATATTATTGTAAGACATAATAAACTGTATATGTAGAGAGTTTAAATAAGCAAGATCTATAGTTGGCTTGCAGATATAACATCTAGTATAAAACTTGTATAGTAATATATAGGCAGACTATTTAAATTAAGTACCAAAAGTGCACATATGACTATATAGTTATAACCTTCAATATAAAAGAGCCTCTGGAGGCATCTGTATTCAAATATATGAATAAAAACATTGATTCTTATAGACAGAGACTTTAATTATAAAAAAAAAATAAAATAAAATAATAAATAATAAATAATAATAATAATAATAAAATAATAATACTTTATTTTATAACAATACTTTTAAAAAATATTTATAGTTTTATCTGTAACTTATAATTAAAACTAGCTATTTAAATTACTATGTTTTTACAAAGTTTACTCAAACTTCAGTATTACTTTATAACATATTTAAAATATTTTAATATACTCTTATATTATTTTTAGACTTTCAATTCAAATAATTTAATAGAACTACAACCAATTTATTGATATATCAAATTAACTTAATATTCTTTTTTTCTGCTTCAATTTTGATGTTTTAATTAATAGTACTTCTTATTTAAGATTCTGATTTGTTCAATTTTTTTATATTAATATTTATTTTATAAAGTTAATTTTTATAATAATACTATTAAAGATTCATACTACTTTCTGCTCAAGTTTTTCCAAATAAACCTTTTATTTTTTAATTTTTATAGATTTATATAATTACAAGAATTTATTTAGAGTTTAAATTATTTGATGCCAGTTTGCATTTCTTTGTATAACTAGTTATACAGATGTTCTATAACTTACTAGTTATGTTAATATAACTATAATTATAAATATTTTAACTAATTATTGAAAACAATTACTATAATACAAATATTATATAAATGATTGTTCAAATTTCACTATTAATAAGTTTTGAATATTGAACTTATTACTTGAAAGATTAACAACAATATTTTTTATTTTTATAAACATATAAAATATCTGTAATAATTTTTATTATTTTAGAAAAAAACTAATAAACTAACTTCAAATTATTCTTTATAATTAGTATTTTTAATTTTAACAATTTTGTAAATTTAAATTATATACTAACTTAGACATATTATTAAAAAGTTGACAAATAATTTATTATAATTTTATTATAACAACTTTAGTAAAGCATATTATTTATTTTTATATAATTTAATAAATTTTTGTTAACTTAATCTTTGATAATAATATTTTTAGTTACTTTGTTAATTGTTAGACTTGAAAAAAGTAATAATATAGAATGTAATGACTTAGTAAAATGAATAAGTTATTAAGCTTTCAAGTAATAAATTAGATATTTAAATTTTATTAATGTCAAAATTTTAAATAATTATTTATATAATCTTGTATTACAACAACTGTTTCTAATAATTAGATTAAGATATTTATCATAGTAATTACATTAGCATAACTAGCAGATTATAGGACATTTGTATAACTAATTATACAAAATATGCAAATTGCATCAGGTAATACAAACACTAAATAAATTCTTGTAACTATATAAATTTGTTGAAATTAAAAAACAAAAAGTTTATTTAGACAAATCTAAATAAAAAAGTAATATAAATCTTTAATAACACTATTATAAAAACTAAACTACTGAAAACAAACACTAATATCAAAATATCTGAGCAGACAAAAACCTTTAGAATTAAAGTTTTGAAAATATTATCAATCAAATTACTAAAATAAACTGAAAAAAAAAAATATTAAATTAACCTAATATACTAATAAACTAGTCATAGTTCTATATAAACTATTTGGATTAAAAGTTTGAAAAATAAACAAAAATATACTAAAATACTAAAGATATGCTATAAAGTAGATACTAAAATTTGAATGAACTCTATAAGAACATAACAGTTAAAAATAAAACTCTGATTGCAAATATTAATTCAATTATAATAATATTTAAATCAATTATGAAAATAAGTACAAAAAACTTTGAGAGATTTATCTCAAAAATAAAATAATTCTAAGATTGAGATAATGACCTAAATATAATCTAGTAATGTTAACACAGATGTCAATTTAGAAGGTTAAAAATAAAATACTCAAGCAGAGATATTAGATACAGCAATTGGTAAGAAATCTTCAAATAAACTCCTTAAATAAGTAATATAGAAAAATTACACATGTAACTAATTGTACACTCTTTCTGTAGTAGTTCACAAGAACCATATTACCAAAAAAGTTGTTAATAAAAGTCAAAATACCAAAAAGGTCATCTTAATAATAATAAAAAAATAATAATAACAATGCATATAATCATCTTTGCTTCTAAGAAAGTTTGTTTTTGAAATTATTTTGTATAGTTAAAGGCAACGCTTTTTCAAAACGATTTATGAAAAAAATTTTTTTTCATAAGTAAAATGGTGAAACGTTACAGATCAAAAAAAGTACTTTAAACTGTATAAATTAGTTACCCGGGCAATTGATTTACATCAGCCAATCAGACGAAAGTTTTTCTATGAATATTTGACCCTGATAATCACATGCCTAGTGCGATAATAGCATCTTAGCATTACTACGTAGCTATTTACTAGAAAATACGTAGCACTATTTTAGATGCTACAAAAATCCACTGACTCTGGTAAAAACCTTACTGTACGGTGCAGTGTTGGCCTATGACTCGTTATCGTTACGACCTTATGACTTGTTTTATGACTTATGGTTATGACCTTATGACCTGTTTATAAAATTATATACCTCGTATTACATTATGACCGCCTTAGTCATACGTATAAAGTTGAATATGACTTAAAATGGCGACAATTAAATAATACTCCCAGAGTACTGTGTGATAGTATTAATTGTAACAAGATCATTGATTTGGATCATGGATAAATTACTACTTGATTAGTACATACCGGGATACTTTTCAAAAATGGTTAAAATTGCAACTGAATAGGGAATACTTTTTCGGGAGAAAGATCAAAACAGAATGGGATTACAGAAGCTCAATTATGCCGAAATTAAAAAATCGTATCATACTGATCAGCTGTAATTGCTAACCCTAACGCTTTATACATAACCCAGATTGCACTATACAATACTGCTGTCCTAGCATTACCATCCTAAAAAATTTCGCTGTTAAGTTTCCTTTCTATTAAGTTAGGTTAGAAAGAGCTTTAGTAATGCCAAATTTCGCAAAGAAACCTTTTTGTTAGTGCGCAGAAGGTGGTTTCATAGGTAAAATGTTGAATTATACCTGATTTTTTGGATTGGTTTGATTTTTTGCGTTTTTTCTGCGTCACACCTGATCTAAATTTTTTAGGTTAGTAACGCTAGGACAGTTTTCCAAACCACACTGATCTTCGTAATACCGAAGATCACCGTACCATACTGATCTTAGTTCTACTCGCACATACGTACCATACTGACCTTAATTCTGCTCGTACATACGACTTTGGACCGAACTTGAGTCGACGACTCGGACCGGGCTTTTAACATCCCCTATCAATTTTTTTTACATTAGGGTTACATTAGGGTTAGTACTTACAGTTAGGATTAGGGTTTGGGTAAGATTTTGAACATGTTTTAATTAGCCAGTTTTTGAGATAATGCATACATAGATGCGTTTTACGTAGTAATATATAAATTATATAAATTTATAAATTCGTTAATTCTTTTTTTTTTCCTTTTTTTTTTTTAAAAAAAAAAATAGTTCATTAAATAATCTTTAATCCCTAAAAAATTGTTATCATTATACGTATCATATGATTGAAAAATACAGAAATAAACGATGGGTCAATTAATAATCGTATTAATTATTTGAATCAGCCGGCATCAGGCATTCCGGCTCATGATAGACATATTTTTATACGGTCTTATTATCAATAACATTCTTAGACAAAATATTTTAAACACCCTAAAATATATTTAACACACTAACGCTAATATAATTTTACAGCCTGAATTATTTTTGACTGTTTACGATTTAGACTATCTAAAGTACTTTAGGCACTTAAATTTACGCCAAAAACAATTTAGGCACCCATGTATACTGAGAACTACAAGTCTGATCGATTGGTGTTAAATAAATTTGTATTATATGAAACAAAAACGGTAAAATTGCTATTATAATTTTGAGTGTGTGTTTATATTTTTTTGCTTAGAGAAAACACTATCTAATATCCTTTTTTTTGAAAAATTCTTAATTGGATAATAACAGAATTATTACATAGTAGGATCAAACCAAAGTGATAATCGGTTTCGTATATTAAAGATTGACCGAACAACGCCTACTGAACTTAATGTAATTGAAGATGATGTGATATATTCGAAGCAAGAAATAAATGACATTTTAACTGTTCTCGAAGAAGGTAACAGAATTTCGGGTGGACTTAAGAACATTATAGCCGCCTATGGGATTGTAGGTGAGTTTTTACATTAGTGAATTGCTTGATCGGGTATATATAATCGATCAATCATTAGGTCGATGATATCTTATATACTAAAAAAAAAAAGTAATAATGTATTCTATGAAAATTTCTTGATCGATCAAATTCAACTATTCAACTATATTGATTGAACATAATTGATTAATAAAAGTATTTTATTATCTTTTATAGGATTTATTCAATTTACGGATGGCTTTTACATCTCACTGATCACCAAAAGAAGTCCCGTTGCTTTAATTGGTGGTCATTATATATATCATATTGATGAGACGCTTCTTCGCCCAATTGGGCCACAGACAAAGCATGAAAAAAATTCAGATGAATACAAGTAATCAACGTGTTATCATAGTGCTAATTCATTAAACATATATAATATGTGCTAATATTGTCAAATTCCCAATAATACTTATTAGATACTACAATATCTTCAACATCGTGGATTTGACAAAGAATTTTTATTTCAGCTACACTTATGATATTACTCATACACTTCAACATAACATGATTCGTCCATCAAATCGTAGGAGTTTTTCATATAACGAAATGTTTGTTTGGAATCACTATTTATTAGAAAATGGATTTCGAAGTCTAAAGAACAATTCTGATTGGATTTTACCGGTTATCCATGGTTTTGTGGATCAATCAAGTATGCTTTCTTTAACTATAAAATATAATAGTTCATGGAAAGAAATATTAAGTTTATATGACTTTTTAGAAATTTCAATATTTGGGCGGAATATCTTTGTGACATTGATTGCTCGAAGATCAAGATTCTTTGCTGGTGCACGCTTTTTAAAACGTGGTGTCAATGATCAAGTTAATTTAGAATTTCAATAGCCATTACATCTTTTCTACATTTATTATTATATTGTTAATGTTCGATATTTTCTGTTTTTTAGGGTTATGTCGCAAACGATGTAGAAACTGAACAGATAGTAGCAGATATGAGCACAACATCGTTTCACCGATCTGGACTTTACGATAATCCTTACTACACATCTTATGTGCAACATCGTGGATCTATACCCTTGTTTTGGTCACAGGATGTGACAAACATGACGCCAAAGCCTCCTATAGCAAGTTTGTATATTATCATTAATGTTATTGAAGTAGACTACCTTACTCAATATATTAAGATTAATTATTATTATTATCATTATTATTATTGTGCTAAACAGTAAACTTTCGAGATCCATTCTATGCGGCTGCAGGTTTGCACTTTGATAATATGTTCAAACGTTATGGTGCACCCATAATTGTCCTAAATTTGATCAAGGTAATTAGTCTTATAACCTTAAAAACATAAGTTAATGTTTAAATCTTATGAGTGTATCGTATTTACTACATCTTCACAGACAAAAGAAAAGAATCCTAGAGAATCTATTTTGGGAGATGAACTTGCAGATGCCATGAGCTATTTGAATCAATTTTTACCAGAAAAGTCTCTCATATATCATCCTTGGGATATGTCAAAGGCTAGAAAAAGGTATGATAGTTAAATATATATTTTTATCTTAAAATTTAAACTATATATCTAATAGGCATCTTTAGTGACGAAGACGTTTTTGATATCATGGAAGGATATGCAGAAAAATATTTAGCTGATACAGGATTCTTTCATAGTGGTCCTGAGGCATGGGTTAATGTTTTGAATAGAGAACAAACGTATGTTTTATTTTTTCTCTTTACAAGGATTTCAATCTGGTTTTAGTTTAATGCTAAATTTCAAAATCTCAAAGCCAAGGAAAACCACAAAAGCGCCAAATGTTTAGGCGACAAAGTGGTGTTGTTAGGACAAATTGTATCGATTGTTTAGATCGTACCAATGCCGCACAATTGATTATCGGTAAATGTGCTTTGGGTCATCAGGTATGTAATTCTTCTGTCATCTTTTTTTAACACAACTGTAATGCTCAATGAAGTTTTATTTCAAATTTAGCTACATGCATTGGGCGTAATCGATCAACCCTGGGTTCCTGTTGATTCTGATGTAATGAATATGCTCACTGATATGTACCATGATCATGGGGATACTATTGCTTTTCAGTATGGTGGATCAAATTTAGTCAACACCATCGATGCTTATCGAAAGATAAATCAATTCACCAATCATTCTAGAGATTTACTAGAAAATTTGAGGAGATTTTATAGTAACACCCTTTGTGGTAACTATCTAGATATGTGTGTACTTAGAAATAATTTTCATTAATTTCCATATCCTTAAATATAGATGGTGAAAAACAGGATGCGATTAATCTTTTCCTCGGATACTACCAAGCGCAAAAAGATAAGCCGATGTTATGGGAGCTTACGAGCGACTATTATTTGCACAATGAAGATCCTCGTTTTAAAAGACCACGGAGAAGGCATGATATCCTGAGAAATTATAAGCCATCTTTAAATCGTTTTAGCTTTAACTACATATTAAATACGCATACATCTATAATTATTAATTAGTTACATTCACTGGTGGACTAAGGATGCTCTACATAAAGTTAATCAACAGCAGGATACTTCAAGATATCAACTCGTTCCTCGCATAGCCCGTCAATTCGAAGATGACGAAGCGGATCCATATTCTGGTTATTGGGTTGAATATTATCGTCCGCGAATTTTCACGTCATTTGAAAAATTGTTTGCATTTGACATGAAAAGTACTACGAAATATATTCCATCAGGGTATGATTTGTTTAAATAATACTTTTTTGGTTTTTTTTTTTTGATTATAAAATCAATAAATATCACTTTTTTCAATAGCATGGACGAAAGTCCATTCAAAGTTCGGGTAACTCATCCACAAGCTTCTCGGTAAGTTTCGGTCAATTGATACATTTACAAATATCGGTAATTATTAACATAATATTATATTTATACAGTTTGATGAATGTTGGAAATGTCAAAAAATGGTTTGCCTCACTACCAAACACAAAGTCTAAAGAGGCTCATTCTATAACAAATGAAAATGAGAAGGAAGAGAAAGAACATATAAAAAAAAAAGATAAATATAATCAGAATACAATGGAATCTATTGTTTCAAAGAGTTTAAATCCTTCAGTTTCTTCGAACGAAGCGAAAGAGTACAGACAGTATGTATTTAATTTTAAAACTCAATTTTTTTTTTTTTTTTAAACCCTTGGTATACTTACCATGGGACGCCGTTGACGTTAAAACTTCCATATTAAATTCACTATATTAATTCATATTATCCTTTCAGATACATAAATCAAAACAAAAATCTAGTTCTAACACCAACGCCAACTGGCAACAACGATCCCGCATTAACAAGTCATTCGGATTATAACGTTTACAACGCCTACATGCGGCGTGCCAATTTGTCAAATCCGATAACAGATATAAGAGTGCCTTCAACAGATGAAAAAGTATATGAAGAATGTTTAGATATACCAAAGAAATATGCTATATTACAAGCTGTAGGTTCAGATCATGTAAATTATAGCGCTGCAAAGAGTAGATATCAAGCTTACGAAACATGGTTGAAAACGGGAAAGTTGGTCGGAACTAATAATAATGTTGTAAATTCTTCCAAATCCAAAAATGGCGGAGGAGGTGAGAAGGGAAGTATCTCTAAAAAGGACAAAGAAAAAATTAAGGAAAATCAAATTAAAGGATAATTCATTTCTTTAAGCATGTGCATACTTTTAGTGTAGTTATAATTTTTACTATTAAGTTCATTATTAGACTCCAACTAATTTTTGTTAAATTAGAACTGGTGTTAAGAATTTTCATAAATATAATACATAATTTCTTAAAATATAAAAGGCATTCTTGTAGTATAGGTAATTTCTCTAATAAAATGTATTATTAATTAATTGGTTATAGAATAGGGTCACCTATACTGCAAGATCCCTCTTACATTTTTGCGGGCTGTGACCATGTTTAATGATGCATAAGGGTAATTTTTTAATTTTCATAGAAATTACAGTATGTATGATCATAAGGATGTTGCTAATAGAGTTGTGTTATATAAATTACAATTTTACGTTACGTAAGTTTTAGAAAATTAAGGGTAAGGGGTATTATATTAAAATTATATATAAACTTAATTGTAATTTTTTTATATTTAATTTTATAAAAAATTATTTTTTTTTGGTATTAAGATGATTTTATAAAAAATTATACTAATATTAATTTATAAGAAAAGTTTGTAGAACAGGTTTTTCTGATTATAATGATAGTAAAATCATTAGATTTGGTTAAAAATTCAGTAAGATCTGATTTTTTAAAGATTAGATATAAAAATTATTAATTAAATTAACTTATAGGATTATATAAATTAATCAATCAAATTTAACAAATTTAGTAATCTCATGTTATCTTGGAAAATTTTGAGCTAATTCAGAAAAATTTTGTGATATATATAAGTATATATTTTTTAAATATAATAATAGTTTAAAATTTTATCATAATAGATAAATTATTTTATTTATATTTTGTAAAATTTTAATAAAAATTGTAATTTAAAAAAGTTTTATTAATAACATATGTTGATTTTATATAAACATTCTAAAAAACATATAAAACTATATAAAAATAATCTATATACCTTTAGCATTAGTAAGGTTCATTTTGATTGAATAAAAAAAAGATTATTTATATAAATCATTGTAATTTTGAAGTACATTTGATATATAGATCTATTCATTATAAAAAAATTTTTTTTTTTACTAAAAAAAAAATTAAAATAGTTATATATATATATTTTTTGCTTGTTATTTTGTCATTTAGTAAGTTGTTATTCAGTCAGATTCAATAGTTAAAAAATTTAAATAAGAGCATCTTTTTGCTAAGTATTTATTATTATTATCAAAGTTTATTAAACTTTTACTAATTTTTATATAACATTTAAGAAGATTCATTAGTTAAATAACAAGATACTGTAAAATTTTTATAACTAGTCAAAGTTTATTAGTAGTTGCATAGCAGTTTAATAAATTATTTAATTTAATTATCAAGTACTAACAAGAGTTATTTTATTTAAAAAGATAGCATGTGTTTGGTAAATTCTATCTAATTCTATTTCTTCTATTGTTTTATTGCTTTTAGCTATAGATTTATTAGCATTAATCATATTTTGTTTTTTCTCAGTTGTTAAATTATTTGAACTTTTCTCTAACCTACTTAAAAATGATTTATATTGCTATAGATTCTATGTTTGTAATATTCTTTATAATGGCAACAACCAAATCTTATTCTTTGATAATATTGAAAATGGTACCTATGTTTGCAGATTAATATTTTTTTATTTCTAAGTTCTTAAGAACAATAATTACAGGCATTGGGTTATAAAGATAAGTCAGTACTGTATGCTGTTAGAAGACATCTTGAATTAATAATCTTTTCTAAAGTAACTAATTTATATTAATCTTTTTTTAACAATTAACTTTTTTCATAATTGTTAAAAAGTTTATAGAAGTGTTTTAGTAAAAATAAAGCTATTTTTCTGTAAGAAAATCTAATGTTGGTAGTTTATAAAAATATTGCTGCAATTTTTCAAATATGTTTTAAGTTTATAATGATTTTGTACATCTGACAAATTTTTTTTTTTTTTTTGCTTTCACTAAGGCCATAGTTATCGCCTTTATTGTATTTTAATTATGATTACATAACTTGTACAAGGTAAGTATACAACTAGCCATATATACAACTTTTGGTTGTCTAATTTAAGTAGTCCACCTGCACAGCAGGTTTTACACTAGCTGCCATACTTGCAATCTACTAGGAGATTACCTATTTTAAACACTCTGATCTCTATACTTATACCAACAAATAGCGCACAAGTTCCCATACACCTAAGTGCCATCTAACCTAACCATGACCTTCCTGTCTGTACATCTGTCAAGTCATTACATATTTCAGAGTACATCACCTAACTGTAAGGCTCCAGAAGGTCCCTCTGCTAACTAACTACTCATGTTTAGTATCTTGTTAACAGGGCTTGCCCTTGCAGAGTTCACCTAGACCCTAGCACTGACTTCACAACATATCCCTAGTACTTTAGTATACCCCTGTTTCCGACCTCAGACTCCCAATCCAGATAGCCCAATAGGACTGTGACCTGTCTCTGGTACCCTAGGGTCTACCTTCCAAGGTCTTTTTCCTCTGGTTCGAGTCTTCTGGCAGCCTGGTTGGTGGTACCCCTTATCCGAGGTTCTTGCCTGCTCGATTCCTTCCACATTGGTATCTATTTTCTAGGTCTAGTATTTACAGTAGTACTGTCGAAGATCTGTGTTACTTCTCTATTTGGGTCTTCCCAAGTGGGCTTTCGGTTATTCCAGTTCACGGATTTACATGGCCACAGATGCTCTATGACCTGCCAGTTATCTGGTGCAACCATGTTACAGGTACTAATCCCAACTAATCGATAGATAGCCGTCACCATAGTACTAGTTTCAAGGACTTATCTTGTGTTTACACTGCCCAATGCCGGTTTGCATTCTTCTGTATAACTCCAATATTGCACAGATGCTCATATACACTAGTGTAACATAGGTGGTTTTCCAAATTTTTGCCGTCAGTGGGTTTTGAACTCCTAACCTACCACTTGGAGAGTTGACAACTTATCCACTTCACTAAGTCACTACACTCTCATCTGACAAATTAATACTAATTTAATTAAAATTTTTTATTTATTATTGTTTTTTAATAATTTGAAACAAAACTTATCTATAACATAAGCTTGTTTGATAATATTATTAATATTGCTAATTGCAAAGATATAAGATTATATCTTATTAAACATATTTTTTACATAGTAATTGTTAAAATTCATTAAAAATAATTTTATAATCTTTGCAAAAGGATGGCTAGTATTAAGGTAAAAAACAGGCTGGGCTAAGCTTAGAAATTTGTAAGCTGGACCAGACTTGGGCCTAATTTTGGTCTAAAATTTTGAGTCTGTTAATGTTTAAATCAGACCTAGATTGAACCTGCTAAAATATTAGGCCAGGCCTAAGCTTTGTAAATGAGCCTAGTTAGATCTAACAAGCCTATTATAGTAAAACAAATAGGATGGTTTACAGCTATATTCAATGTTGTATATCTTCTTAATAGATCTATTTTTATAAGCATCTTTAGATTTGCTTTATAAGCTATGCTTTTGTTTTTGTCTTTTATAATAAGCATATATATATGCATCTATGAATCTATTGCATAATAATAATTTTTATTATCTGTTATAATTAAAGTTACATAATTGAAATTAATTATATATGCATAATTAAAGTTAATTATAAGTGTGTATTTTTTCATCTATGATATTAAATAAAATTAATCTATATGAATGAATATTTTTTTATTCTTGATACAACCAACTTTACAAGTATATTATAACTTTTCTTATATACAAACTATGTATATACATTGTATTTGATATCTTTTATATTTAAAATCTTGCTTAAAGATTAAACTAAAAATGTATATACAGTCAGACCTCTATTATTGCACCCTCCTCGGGATCATAGGAAACTTTTTTAAAAATGTTCATTTAGGGAGAGTGTGCATTTATAAAGAGAATTTTTACTATGTTTCTATATACTTGGAACAATGACAGGGCATGCATTTAGGAAGAATTTACATAGTAGGTGCATTTATAGAGAGTGCAATTATAAAGGTCTGACTGTATATATTTATTTATAATGTAATTTTTTTTTTTCTTAAGCAGTCATGCTAGTACTTTATTAAGATTTTGAAATTACATTTGCAATTGCATAAATATTTTTAACAACTAAGTCTAGCATCACCTGGCCATCTTAATGGTACTTAAGTACAACCTGCCACATTACTTCAAGCAGAAGTAAGCTACTTGTCTAACTACTTAAAGTTCATAATAGAAGAGTCTTCTTTTTTTTATGACAAGTTCCAAAATTGTTTTCTGTATTTCTGTTCTGATTTGTTCTTCTTTTTCTCTTATTTTCTCTTTTTTTTCTTTTATCTTTTGCTGATTTGCTTTTTTTTCTTTATATGATTCCACCTTCTTTTTTTCTCCTCCTCTTTTTAACCTACCTGTTATTTTTACTTTCTTTTCTTATTCACTGATCTTCTTATATCAGACTCTCTATACTTGTTCATAAAATGTATTCTAGGCTGTATTTGCTATTACACTTACAAACTGCTATCTTGATTTTATATTTAAAAACTGTTGTAATCTATTTTGTATTTCTTTTGGAATCAGGCCTTTAATTAGAGCCTCTCTCATTCTCATTTTTTCTGTTTTAGTTTTATCAAAGAGTGCTATATATAATATATATAAAGAAACTTGGATTTTTTTCTCTTTACTAAGTCTCTTTCAGGCTGTTGCAATAGTTACTTTTTGTATTCTATCTGTTTCTTTAACTTTATCCTTATACACTTAGCATTCAGTCATTGTATACACATCTGGTCTTCTTTTGTTAAGTTCTTCTAGAATCAGAAGTTTGTCTATTATACATTTTATAAATACACTTCTTCTGGCACTAATTCTTCTTGTTGTACAATGTACTCCTTTTGTCATCTTTAGCCTTTTTCAAAAAAATGTCTAATCATATATCATAACTTTTGATTCTGGTTCTAATTCTTTAATTGCTCTTGTTTCTCTTCATTCTGCTCCTAATTTTGCATTTGTTATTAGCTTATA